CCAATTGTACTCTTCAGCTGGCAGTTGGGTTAATCTGCTGAAGAGATCATGCAGAAGACAGTGGTCTGACAACCTAGCTTTTGAAGACAAGTTCAATGAGAATCTTTGTGACCATCATGCTTGGAGTTGTACTCTGACAATTTCTTGATATTGTAGTTCAGCTTTTGCATTGGTAGAAGCTCTCTCTTTTGTATGAGTCTGGTGACTGGTTCAAGTCTCTCCAAGGCTGTGATTTAAGTTGTGAGGTGCAGAACATTGGCTTTCAAGGATGGAAAACTATCTTCACCATCATTATGGAGTTGAAATGTATCATTGATGATTGAATCGAATTTCCGAAGACTTTGTTATGACATGGTGGCGCGAGTGGTGAAGATAGACATGAGGGATGAATGATTTCTTTTGTTTTTGAATATGAAAATGGTTGTATATAGTTGCTGATGCCAGCACGGCATGGTGGAGTTCAATCTTTTCAGCTATGAGGCACATTTTGCGCATATAGTTTTACCCACCAAATGATGTGGTTAGAGGGGGATTTGAGACCAAGGTGCTCAGGTTATAGTGTCTTGGCAAATTTTATACCTCATTAAGTTCACCTGAGGGATTAATTGGCGCGTGTTCAAGCTGGATAAGCGAGCGCAAGTGAGCGATTGCGGCTTGTTTCATAATAATTGTTAAGGCGGCCAGGTCGGATAAATAAAACTCTTGGCTTCATCAATTCTTCCGCAGTACCCAAACAACGAATATTCCTCGTCTTCTACCCACCGCTCCAAGGTTGCTATTCTCAGTCTTTTTTTTTTTTTTTTTTTTTTTTTTTTTTTTTTTTTGAAACTGCCGAAAACCACGCGAGCACATGCGTTTCACCCGTGTTGAACTCCAGAGAGTGTCCCCAATGCCCTCGCGGGTCATTCCTGTGCAGGAGGGCAAAGCCCAGTTTTTCAAATGGACACGGTTATAGTCGCCGGAACCAGTGGCCTACGGAACCTGTGTCCAATGCAGCTGTGGTACGTAGTATGATCCCGTCGGTCACTTCTATCCAAACCGGCTGTGTTTCGAGCGAGTTGTCAATCCCCATGCGCATTCCCCTGTACTCATGGCGGAGCACAGTGTCGACCAAGTTGTTCCACTCGAGCCCTTTCTCTCTATCAGGACGCCGCATAACGTATCCCATCCCCGCGTCCGCGTCCAGAATAAGACATATATTTTCCTCCCCACAAAAATGTCATTAGTTTTAAGCCGCGAAATGATGCGGCCCTTATAGCCTACTAGGGAGATACAACTCCTTTTCCCCCCGAGATATGCCCACAGTTTAAATATAGGAAAGGATAGCTCTTCTT